GGGTTGCGATCCGTTGCCGGTCACGAAAAAAGACAAAAAGACAAAAAAAAAAAAAAAAAGACAATACCATTAACTTTTTGAGGACCGCTCATGTTAGCTATTAGTACTTTAGCTCTCTAACCTTATCCCTTACCACCATCCACTGTCATGTTTTTAGGCCCCAGCCCACAATGAACTACTTGCAGATCCTCTCAGACACTCACTGTCCACACTATATCCTTTGCCTGGAATGTCCTTTCCCCCATCTCTGGCTCTTGGCTACCACTCACTCTTTAAGAGTCAGGAAGGCTGTCCCAATTCCCAACCACAAACAAGGCTTAGTTGCTCCTCTTCCTTTGTCACCAAATGCCCTGTGCGCACCTCTCACCTGCTCCTACCAGATATTCAGTTATTTGTGTATCATATCTTTCCCCTCTCATTGGCCCGGGGTTGGGGGACAGGGTCAGCTCAAGGGCAGGGACTGCAATATGGTCACTGTTGGTTTCCCAATGCTCCACAAAGCATCTGGCCCAAAGAAGCATCTAATGAACTCCTAAGCAGTCCCATTTCCCAATCCTGGGCTTGAACTTGTGATTTCCATGGCTAACACTCAGGATTTTATCCCTGACAAACATATCTGTACACCCTCATGGCGGGCCTAGAACAGCCTTGCCAGAACCAGCCCCCATAATCCTTCCAACACTCACATTAGCTGGGTACTTGGTTATCACGGTCAGCATGAGCTTGGCATAGGCTATGGAGGTGGTGGCTGCCCTCCCCTCTTTACAGAGCCTCTCCATCAAGACACTGAACTTCTCAGGGGTCATCTCCACCTGTATACATTGGGATATACAGCAGTATCACAAGAAACGCCTGGGCTCTTCATTCAACGAACCCTAGGCTCTATTCCCAACGCCATTACTTCCCAGCTGGGGACCCTCAGCAGGTCACTTAACCAAGCTAAGCCTCAGTTTACTCATCTGTAAAATAGGGCTCATAATGTCTTAACTCTGAAGACTGTAAAAAGGATTAAATGAGATAATGCACATAAAACCTGACACACGGGTCTCAGAAAATGATGGCTACCATTCCAAAGGTTCAGGTTAGGACCAAGTTGTTAAAGATATAAAGGATCGAGAAGTCCTGAGGGGCACTGTCAGCATAATAACCTAGCTCTTCATAACAATAATTTAATAAACACTATGCATCAGGCACCATTCTGAACACTTTATGCCAATTATCTCATTTAAACCTCACCCCATTCTTATGTGGTAGGTGTTACAACTCCCCTTTTGGGGCCGGCCCCGTGGCGCACTCGGGAGAGTGCAGCGCTTGGGAGCGCAGAGGCGCTCCCGCTGCGGGTTCAGATCCTATGTGGGGATGGCTGGTGCGCTCACTGGCTGAGCGCGTCGGTCACAAAAATGACAAAAAATAAATAAATAACTCCCCTTTTGTAGATGAGGAAACTGAGGCATAAAGGCTAGGACAATTACCTAATATATAAACAAATGAGGCAGAATTTTAGGTACTGATATGGAAAATCACCAAAATATACTAAGTAAAAAAAGCAAAGTACATTAGAGTTCACTGTCTCAAAGAAAAAAACCCACAAGGTACAGAGAACATTGAGCTTAATGTGTTACAATCTACATAAAAAGAAGGGGGAGAAGTAAATTTAAACCTTATATATATATAATATATATATATATAAAAAAAATATATATATATATATGAAGCATCTCTAGGAGAGTTCCCTTCAAACTAGTAACACTGGTTAGCCCTGGGGAGGGGAATCTGGATGACTGGGGGAGTAAGAGGAATATTTTCACTCTATCCTTTTGAGCTTTTAAAATTGTGAACATATGACTCTATTACCTATTCCAAGATAAAATTAAATTTAAACACACACATCAAAAAATCTTGCCCCAGAGCTGGCCAGTTAGCTCAGTTGGTTAGAGAAGTAGTGTTATAACACCAAGGTCAAGGGTTTGGATCTATGCACAACCAGCCGCAAAAAAAAAATCCTTCCCCCAGGGCCCCACGGCTGGTAAGCAGTGGAGCTGTACTGACTCCCCTCACCATATGGTCAGCTCTGTGCTGCAAGGCCTTACAAGGCACAGGGCTCTCCCACAGGGTGCCCTGCTGAGCTACAGCTGTCCTGCTTGCCTCTCCATCACTGAAGGACTCAGAAATCCAGGAGCTCATGCCCCTCTACAGCCCTGCAGCACTTCCTTGTCCACTCTTCCCCAAGGCAGCCTACTCACCTGCTGCTCCAGTAGTGATTGCAACACCAAGAAAGTCTCCTCCTTCCAGGGAAGCTCCAAAATCTGGCTGCAAAGCAGAGGCCCTGGTGAGAAAAATCCAGCCTCCCACCCAAGCCTGGATATCCACTGCTGCTATTCCCCATAGCAGGGCAAGGCCCTGGGGACAGCCAAGATCCCCAGCCAATAGAGGAATAGTCAAAGTCCCCCTGATGCTGGCAGCACCCCCAGTAGCCACTGCTGCAGAGCCGATACATGTGCCAGGAAGGTCACAACCCCAAGATCCCCTGGAGCTGACAATAAAGGATTTGGTAGTGATGTACGAAGGTCTCCTAAAAAATAACCAGGAGTCAAGAGTGCATCCTGAGAACAAAAGGAGAAGACAGAGAAGAGGGGATGCTGGAGTGAGCTGACATGCATGAGGCTTCCTAGAGGAAGTGAGCCTCCCCACAGAGCCCAGCCCACACCACGTCCACTCCAGCTGCACTTCCTGTTCCACTGCACGGTCCTCGCCTCGTTTAAAAAGGCAGCATGTACAGTGGAAACAGGGTGGCTTCTTGGGTGGATAGACTTAGATTTGATCCCAGCTTTACCACTTGCTGTCTGTGTCAAGTCCCTTAACCACTCTGAGCAGTTTTTCCATCTCTAAGGCAGCGGCAGCACCTACCTCACAGGATTGCATAAAGACTAAGAATCTAAAGCACAAAGTGCTCAATGAGCGGCGGCTGTTATTATTTTTGCAGCTGTTCCCTTCTCATATTATCCTTAGCATTTTATATTTCATGTCTGTGTCCAACGAGGTCTTACTCATTGTTTCACATCTGTACCTTGACTCTCCAATTTTAATACTCAAATTTAATACAAATATTTGAGCACTTACTAGATGCCAAATATTGTGCTAACTTGTTATATGCATCACCACATTTAATATCTAGAAAAATCCTACAAAGTAAATATCATCATATGAGGAAACTGAGGGTCAGAGAGATGAAGTAACTTGTTTGAGTTCACACGCTTAAAAGGCAAGGCTGAGATTTGAAACCATATCTTTCTGACTCCAGAGCCAGTCCTCTTAACCATTGTGCCATGTTAAAACTACGCTGTGTCTGGGCCGGCCTGTGGCTCACTCGGGAGAGTGCGGTGCTGATAACACCAAGGACACGGGTTCGGATCCCATATAGGGATGACCGGTTGGCTCACTGGCTGAGCGTGGTGCTGACGGCACCAAGTCGAGGGTTAAGATCCCCTTACCGGTCATCTTTTGAAAAAAAAAAAAAAAAAAAACTACGCTGTGAACTATTCAAAGCAGGGACCACCAGCCTCTTCTCTGCATTCTCCAAGGCACCTGGCACAAAGCCAGCCCTCACAACTGGCAGAGGCAGAACTGGGGAAGAGTGCAAGCCTGGGCTCGGGAAGGTACATGGGATGGCAACTTGCATGGGCCCATAGGATTGAAGGCATAAGCTGGGTTCAGGCAACTGAGAGATGGCACTGGCTGTGCCATGCACTATCTTTGAGGCACAGAGTCTGGAGCAGCTGGCTCTAACCCAAGTGACAGGAGCAGGCCTGGCCTGGGGGATAAAGTGAGAGTGAGGACAGCATGGAGGCCTGCACACTCACTCCAGCATTAGAACCTGTGTGTCTGGCTCCAGGGACTCGTCCTTCATAAGGCAACACAGTAACTCCATTTGAGCTGGACCTGAGTAATGGAAAGCAGAATGGAGAAGTCTAGGGAGAAATGGCAGAAGATGGGACTATGAAATAATAGAATGCCCAGGCCATTACAGGGGCATCGTCAGGGAAGCAACAGGCATCTTTACCCACTGAATACCCAACTACTGCCAGGGCCACCCTGGGGTAAAGGGTGCTAGGAACAGAGAGGGCAGAGCTACCAGGCCTGGGGCTGGTTCCAGAATTACCTGTGCCTGGGGCCTGGAGCACGGGGCCAAGGAGGGCTCTGCAGACAGGGTAGGTATACTTGGCACAGAAGGAGGTCAGGGCAGTCATGAGCAAACGAGAGGCTGAGGCAGTCAGGGAGAGGATCTACAGCCAACAGGGAGGAAAAAACTAATTTAACTCTTCTTCCCTTCAATAAATGTTTATCAGATACATACAATGTATCACATTATATTTCACATAGTGATACATGTTACAGGGGGAAAAAACCAAGTTCTTTTATCTAGGACTCAAATAGACCCATTTGGAAAAGGCACATAGCTCACCTTTCCAGCTCTCTAATCCCCAACAGCCCCTTGATCAGCTTCTGTAAGGGTTCTGGGGCCCAAGAGGGAGGAGTTAGATGTCATGTGGGTAGATGGCCCAGGGGTCCATGCCCTGCCAGTTGAGTGGGCATCCTTTCCTTGCCCAGGCTGCCCAGACAGGTCAGCCATCCTCAAGGATGGGAACCCCCTCTCCTGAGCCCCACCCTTCTGAGGGCCTAGATGCTCTTCCCCACTGTCCCTGGCACTCCCAGTACTTCCCAGTATACCTACCCGTCCAAGAAAGAGGCTCCTGGTCAGCACAGTAGCATTGCTGAAGCCAAGATCTGGCGAAAGGGCCAGCAGCCAGGTGCAGAGCTGCAGAAGACCTGTGTCTGAGAGCTGGGGGAGCTGCAGCTGAGCACACAGCAGGTCCATCTGCTGACAGCACCGGGCAGGGAGCACAGTAAGAGGGAGGATACAGGGACACTCAGCCTGTCTCCGCTAGGCTGTCTCAAGCCGACTGCGCAGCAGAGGGGGCAGGGCAGACACCCCAGAGCAAGGTAAGGCTGGAGAGCTGCCCTAGGGAGAGGAACCAAGGGCTAAAAAAAAAAAACCACTCAGGGTGACCCTTACTCTATCCCTGAGAAACAGAAACAAAATTCCCACACGAGGTAAGGAAACAAGCTTAAATGGAAAAAGGTGAGGGAAAGAGCATGTAACCTTAGGGCGAGGCAGTCCATCTGGACTCACCTGACTGGGACTGCATTCGTGGAGAAGCTGCAGCTCAGCTGGGGGGATGTCCTCCAACCCCTCCAACCCCTGGGGAGGCAAATCCCATGTTAGAGCTGGCCAAGTCCTTGGTGTCAAGTCACTGAAGCCACCCTTCAATTGGTAGAGGAAGTGGCTGAGATCCTGGAAGGTTCTACCAGAGGACAGGAACTTGCCTGGGGTTAGAGGGCATGTCTATACTTGGGCCAAGAAGACTCCCTACAGCGACTGTTCTCAGACCTTCACTTCAACCCCACCTCCCCCAACCAGCCTGTGCCTCACTGTACTGGGGCTTCCCTGGACATGGCTGAGGTCGGGGCAGAAAGTGGAAGAAGGGCTATGGTGAGCAGGGAAAGGCCAGTCACCTCCCCGAATGTCTTCAGTAGCTGCAGCAGCCTGGGAATCTGGTCCTGTGGAGGAGAGTCCAGTCACTGTCAAGTCCCTACCCCCACAATACAGCTCCAAGCCCAATCCCGGCTCCCTGCCCTGAGAAGGCCCCTAGTCAGTAGGAGCTAGTGGCAAAGATAATTCAAGACAGCTAAGAACATGAAGCCTATGTCTTGAAAAATACCTAAGAATCCAAACTAGACAAGGCCTGTGTGAAATCCAGCTGTCTAGAATTGTCTTCTCTGCATCCAACCCTAATGGGGGTAGACCCCGGCCTTGAGCAGGGAGTGTAGGCTGGTCGCTGGCATGATTCCCCCCCACCCACCCACCCCCATAGGATGGGTATAGGGTGCTCCAGAACCTCTCCCCTTTAATGCCATGCTAAACCTCATATAGATCACAAGTGCTTCCCACCTCCAATAATTCCCTTTCTACCCCCTCCTTTAGAGTATGTGGAATGGAGGCTACATTGCCTCAACCTCAGTCTCCTCCCCCTTGTTCCATGGACTACAGAGTCATCCCAGTTGGGAAACAGTGTCCCAACCAGCCTTTGCCCTGGATAAACCCTCCACTCCTGAAAGATCACTCTAAATCCAGCCTCCCTACCCGAGTACCTGGATAGCTTTGGGCAACTCCAAGCTCTCAGCTGGGCCCTTAGCATCCTCCAGACTCTGACCAGCCTCACTGGTCTCTGTTCCCATGATGGGCTGGTTCTTAATGGGTGATGTACCTCCTCCATCTTCCAGGGATTCTAATGACTCATGTTCAGGCCTCTCTTCCCCATGATCTTCTTCTTCCTCTTCTTCCCTTTCCAAACACCGGAACCTTTTGGGGGCCCTCTCCCCAGGACTGGCAGGCTCTTCCTCTGGCTCCTTTCTGCGTTTCCCAGGCTGCTGGGAGTCCCTGTCCTCCTCTTCTTCTTTAGGGTCTGGAGCCTTGGGCAATTTCAAGTTCCTGCCCCCCTGGCCCAGCTGCCTACACAGGCCTTGGAGCTGTCTCTGGCACCTTTTGGACAGTGGGGAGGCTGCTTCAGCGGAGACCCCAAACCCTAGGTCCCTTCGCAGCATCTCCCCCTGGGCCCGGAGCCAGACATCAGGGTCAGAGACTGGGTCCTGCTGGGCAATCTGCAGTACAGAGAGGAGCCCGCTTTCAGGCAGTGATGGCCGAACAGCCATCAGCAGGGACATCAGGTTCCTCTGGCATAATGGGGACAACCGCAACAATAGTGGTTTCCTGAGTAGCAGAGGAAAGAAAGCAGTTAGAGCATCTTCCAGAAGGGAACACAGGGCAGAATGAGCAGAGCTGAAGGCTAGATGGCAGTGGAAAGATGAAGGCTGGGAGGCAATACCTGCAAGAGTCAGTGTAGATGGACAGGGGGACGGCATGAGTTATCCATACATGTTCACTGAGCATCTATTATACCCAAGCCCTGCTCTTTGACCTCTTTGACATCTCCTATTTCAGCTCAAAAATTCAAGTTGAAACCTACTCTACAATAGATCCGTAATTGTTTTATGTAAAGAAAAAAGTCCTTTCCCAACTTTTACATAAAAATAATACTCCAGATGTTGTGGCCCCTCTTGGCAATCCCCTGGAACTCTCAGGGTTACTCATCTGTCCAGCTCTCATGTTCCTTTCACCAAACTGTGAGTTCCTGAAAGGCAGAGGTAGTGTCTCCTTCCTCTGTGTCCAAGTACCCAGCACAGTGCCAGCAGACCCTCGGTACACATTTAATTAATGAATTAACTCTCTTAGGGGCTGGCCCCGTGGCTCACTCAGGTGAGTGCGGTGCTGGTAGCGCCGAGGCCATGGGTTTGAATCCTATATAGGGATGGCTGGTGCGCTCACTGGCTGAGCGTGGTGCAGACCACACCGTGCCGAGGGTTGCAATCCCCTTACCGGTCAGAAAAGAAAAAAAAAAAAACTCTGAGAATAAGTGCAGAGATCTGCAATAGCTGCTGTGGACAGAGTGCTTCACAGAGGTGAAGCTTGAAACAAGGAATCAGGTAATAACCTTTCATTATATCATTTTATAGCTTCTAAACAGTATTCACAGAGGCAAAGAGGCAGACAGGGGGCTAAGAGTCTTTTCTTTTGGAGCCCCAGGATAAGAACAGAATGAATGCTCCCTCCTGCAAGCATCCAACATTCTCTGATTTAACACTATTTCCTAGTGCTCCAAAAGCCCATGATGCAATGTAGCTGTCTGTAATTTTGCTGAGGCACAAATCCAAATCCTCCTGTGTGTTCTCAGGCTTGGTGTGGCTAGCAAGTTGTGGCTGCATCTAGCCCACCACCCACCAGGCCTCTGCAGGGCCTATGCGGGGCTGTTTGTCATCATGCACAAAGGCACTGGGGATGTGAGGGAGGGAAAAGAAACCAAACTTTTATTTCTTTGTGGAAAACAGACATTATGTGAGAGAGAAAACTAGAGTCAAAATTAAAAAGATGATTAATTTGTGGTGGGAGGATATTTGGTGGTAGAGAGGGATGACCATACTCCGAGGGGTTTTAACCTTTTTTAGTGCCATGGACCCGTTATCGGAATAAGAGTGATAAATGCATTAAATAAAATACCTAGGATTACAAAGGAAATCAATTGTACTGAAATACAGTTCTATCCAGGGGTCCTAGGTTAAGCCCCCTGACCTCCCCCTACTTTATCCAGAAAAAGCCAGACAGCTAGACAGACATTTCTGTAGCCGCCAATTTAGGGGTTCACACAAGTTCTTCTGACCCATGTCTTGAAAGAAATTCAAAGTGGAGTGTAGGAAGAAAATATTAGAACTTCTATTTCTACTTATTTATCTAAAATATAAGAGCAGGGCCATATAATACCAAGGTCAAGTGTTTGGATCCTCATACTGGCTAGCTGCCAAAAATAAAATAAAATATTAAGAAATTAAGCATTACAAGGGGCCGGCCTGTGGCTCACTTGGGAGAGTGTGGTGCTGATAACACCAAGGCCACAGGTTCAGATCCCTACATAGGGATGGCCGGTTAGCTCACTTGGGAGAGCGTGGTGCTGACAAGTCAAGGGTTAAGATCCCCTTACCGGTCATCTTCAAAAAAAGAAAAAGAAAAGAAATTAAGCATTACAAATATTTAATATATAGGATGGCCCTGCATATACCAGTCTCTAGCCCATTCTGGAGGAGGAGTATCCAAGAAGAGTGGAAGGCCAAAACCAATAGGGGCTGAAGGTAGCACCTCACTGGTTTTTTATTTTCTGTGTATTTTAGTTAACTGCACTAGTTAAGTGCATTTGTGCATACTGTATTAATTTTTTTAACAAAACAAATCCTCACAAAAATAGACACATGGCTTAAAAGGATGCCTGTAAAGAAACTGAAGGTTGAAGATAACATCAGTATGGGAAGCACAACCAAATAACAATGGCAGAGCCCATACGTCTGCTCCTAGTAGGAATTCTTTTTTTTTTTTTTTTTTAAAGATGACCGGTAAGGGGATCTTAACCCTTGACTTGGTGTTGTCAGCACCACGCTCACCCAGTGAGCCGTCCCTTTTTTTTTTTTGTCCTTTTTCAGACCAGCCTCACCGCGCTCAGCCAGTGAGTGCTGTGAGCGCACCTGGTCATCCCTATATAGGATCCGAACCCGCGGCGGGAGGGCTGCTGCGCTCCCAGTGCCGCACTCTCCCGAGTGCGCCACGGCTCGACCCACTAGTAGGAATTCTTCGTCAGCCACATAAAGAGGTTAAAAAAAAAGTTCAAAGTCATTCAAAACACTAGGAATTATCAAGAACACAAAAATATGAATTCATAGGCACCATCCTTAAGGAAAGTGATCTTGCCTTAAAATGTATATTATGCTTTGAGAAACTCATAGTATAAAGCCACCACGGTTAGCAGGTGTTATCCCATCATTTATCACGTTTTTTTATTTTTATTTATTTACTTTTTTTGGCAGATGACCAGTATGGGCACATCTGTTTTAAATATCGATTTTTGCATACTTTATAATGTATGTTTTTTAACACACGTGTACATTTTATAAGTAAGTATAACTATACTGGAGGTACGTGTTCAATTCTTTTTAAAGATGGAAGTATGCGATCAAAATCGATTTGACTCCACTTATAATTAATTGTGTACGCCCAACAGAAGGCGTGTCTCATGTCGTATCCTCTGTGTCCGGCACTGCCGGGCACACAGCAGGTGCTCAGTGAAGAATGCCCCTCCTCACAGGGTGCGTGGCAGGGCGCCCCTCGTCTATAACTGAGCGGCAGCGACGGCCCCTGCCTCCCTGACTGCTGAGGGGCCGCGGGCGGAGGACTTAC